TTTAATGAGATGGAGATGGACGTTTTTGTAGCTTTAACTACTAAATAGCTTTGATTACTAATGGAAGGAGTTAGTACAAACACTTAATCTGTGCAACATAAATACCACTAAATACTGCTAAATTATGCTAATTCTATTGTTTTCTATTGTTTGACTAGAGTGGTTTTCATTAGAGTGGTTCTCATTAACCCGTGAAACAAAGTGTAATAGTCAAAGTGTAATAAAGTGTAATAGCCAAGAAATATAATAGAGAACAAAAGATACAAAGTGTAATAAAGTGTAATGCGCTAAAGTGTATTTCACGGGTTAATGAAAACCACTCTAACCCGTGAAACACGTTTGCGTATTTATCGCTATTACACTTTGGCTCTTTTGTTTTTTATTGTCTCTACGCGACTATTACGATCTATTACACTCTAATTATTACACTTTGTTTCACGAGTTTATCAAAAACACTCTAAATAGTGGAAAGTGTTGCATACATTTAATGTTTGTACTCTAGCTAATTTGTAGAAGTTTGTAAACGGTTTAGTAGATTTTATATGAGACTTGATATTTAAGTAACTAATTCGTTAGGTTGATTTGAAGTGGGGTCGAAGTAGCATTAAGTTTCAATTGGTTTAAAATGTTGTTTTGTGTTTTTTGACTTCGACCATCACGTGATGAATGTTAATGAGCTCGCTTCGTATTGGTAGTCGCTTGTASGGGTGCTGGGACAGGATCTTTTGAAAACGATGATAATACTGGATTAATTGTGTAAGAGCAGCCTGAAAATAGAAGTTAAAGACAATTAGAATAAGGGACTGCGGGGTTGAGAAATGAGCCAAAAAAAGTACACCCCTCCCCCCTAAAAATAAATTACTGCTCTGACCCCACCCCTTCCCACGCTCAGAAAATAATTGTAGAAGCGCGTTGTTAATTATCACTGGTATTCCATCTCGGTTGAAACTTAAGCAATAAGATATAATTTTGCACGATGAAGATGTGTTGAATCTGTTAGTTACCTGTAAAATTGTTGTGCCGTTTTTGAAATTTGAAAAAGAGCGCATTATTTCTTGGTTGATATTCTCGATTGACTTTTTCCAGTCGGCGGCAAAACCGCGAACCAGTTGCTGGATTCTTCCTGGAATGAAAAAGAAAATTTACTATAGACCCCTTGCAGTTCATGGGAATGCAGCCACAACTGGAGGACAAAACAATGGATTCTAGTTCCCAAGAGGATAAAAATCTTTTGTTTTGCCCTCCAGATGAAGCTGCTTTGACGTCACATGCAAAGGGTCTATTGTCTAATAGGTGATGTGTAGGGCTTGTCTTGTTTTAGGGTTTGATTTATAATGATTGTGATACATCGTGTTAAGAAGACTTACGTTCATCTGGTCGAATAACTTGCCCTTGTCCTCTCTCAAGAAGTGGCTCAGATTCTTTCACGAAAGCTATCATGCCACCAAAAGCAGGAGAAAGAACCTATAACATTCAAATTACCACATCACCTGAAAATTGTCGAGGTCACAACGAAACCCCCCTTCCCTTTATCACAGGGATCGCAGGGACAGGGGGATGACGCGACAACACTACATTACCTCCTCAACAAACTCTCCTATTCGCGCMGTGAGKAGCTGTTGAAACCCTTCAACTTCTTTCGAGTCTTCTGATGTTCGCTCCTGGAGAGATATAGAGATAGAAAAACAGATATAAGATAAAAGGGGTGGTACAATTTGACTATTAGGTTTAAAGACCCAAAACTAACCGGCATGCACCGGTACAGAAGTAGGAATATATATCAGTAGGAGGTGAACAAGAATATTGACTCTTTTACATCCACTCCGCATTCAGTAATTTTAAGAACAATACTTCGATGTGTAGTGCAATATGTTACTCAAGTAAGTTGTTATTATCAAGTTATTATAAATTTCAAAACATGAAAAGAAATACGCAAATAATCGCAGTGGTCGAAGCCACTTTCTCGGGGACCACAGAGTTGACGGTGGGGGTGGGGGTGCRCACTTTTTTTCTTATTGTTTCATCTGTATTTTTCACTTTACTAAGACTATGTTTGTGAGTACAAACCATTAAGACAGCTAACATCATGTCGTAGTTGTTAATCAGAAATATCAGTTGGTCTTTACGAGGTGGGAATTCGGCAGCCATCTTGAGGATGAAGTTTTCCACTTCATTTTGTAGTGAAGCTAAGACCTTGTTCACCTGCCAAGGAATGAAAACAGAAAGATATTAATTAACAACTTTGGGGAACGTTTTTTTCAGTTACCGAACACAAAATGAAATACAGTTGACTCTCTTTGAACGACCACTCTCGTAAGCGACCATCTACCGTAAGCGACCACATTTTAAATTTCCCGTTTTGCTCAGTTTCCCATATAAACTTTGTAAAAAAACCTCTCTCGTAAACGACCATCTCTTGTAAGCGACCACTTAATACTTCAAATCATAATTGTAGAGGAGGAAAATGGTTAGGAAGCCTTTTGTTGTAAGTTCTGGTGTCCTTTTTTTCAAGCGTGACAGTGCACAATCTTTTGTTTAACTAATGTTTTAGCCACCACTTTAAAAATGAACATAGTGAAATTTATTTTTTTGACTATTTCTTCATAATGCACAAAACATTTTAACCAATATTGAATAATATTTCATTTCATAATCTCATAGAGAGTATTTATGTTCATTCATTTTACACTTTCAATCGGCCGTAAGAAAAAAGTTGTGCGCACGGTCTTGACTTATTCAACCTCAAAATACTCGAAAATGATGTACAAAAGAAGTACAACCAAAAGGTTTCCAAACCATTCCCCTTTATTAACTATGTTCAAATACATTTTCTGCCTTAAATGCTGAACGTGTAAGTTTGCACATCTAAGATTAATGATAGAGTCATAAATGATACCATTCCAATCAGCCAAATACAACTGTCAACTTAAGAATTGAATTGGTTTACCCTTTCTTCYGGAAAACTTTCATTGAGRCTCACAATGGCAGCAGAGAACTCCGCATATCGTCTTGTGATCTGCTCAAAGTAAAAAGTTCACAAGAATGTGAGTGAAAGAGTGACTAAATTGACATCAAAAGCATTGCTTACGTAGTGAGGCCGGATGTCAATAGTCCCTAGTTTCTGTGGATCTGTGCTTTGTACGCTGTCTATGTTCATCTCTACAATATTTGTAAAACGAGGCCAAAACATCTCGAGTAAAGTGTCCCAGTATCTGCGTTGAAATATAGAAAGTAACAAAAAAAAAAACAACTCAGTCAACCTTGAAGAGCAAAAAACGTACAACGTGCATAATATAAAAGACGAAAAAAGCATAAAGCAAAAAGTTCCCCCTCCATCCCCTCCCCTTTACTATTCTAATGGTGAATCCTCACTTGTCCAGGGCTGGAACACTTCTCTTGTGCATTAAAATCCTGTATCGATGGATAATATGAATACATAGGAACAAACCGATGGCATCATAGCAGCTTTCAATGTACGTGTCCATTTGTTTCTGAAAGAAGAAAAGAAAACAACGAACAAACAAATCAATGACTCGTTACCACTCTATTTCCTGCATTTTGGAAACGCGTACAAAGAAGAAGGGCCTGTGACGTAGATTGATTGAATAATGATTCATCGACCCAATAGAAAGTAAGATTATAAAAAACTAGAAAAATTGGTAAATATTGCCAATGGCATTTAATGGTAACTTTTTGSCGTGSAAGTTACGTCATCASCGCCATGKTGGATGAATATCACAAAGCATTCCTCATTAGTTTKTCTYGTTCATTCATCCAACATGGCGGYGATGGCTTTGTGCGTTGTTTCTCAGGGGAATTCCTGGTCATGTGGTTGTACACGAGGAATAAGGACCAGAACAACTCTTGAAGTAAGGGGTGTGCTAACATGTCGATTGTACATGAGCTATCCCATGTACATGCACTGACATCAACATTGGTTGATTTCTGTTGGGTACTCCAGTTTTAGGGTCTATCTGGAATATACCATGGTCGTTGGAGTGTGTTTGAAGCCTAATCCAATACATGTTTTTCTACATGCATTATTTAAATCACATCTAACGCACCAGAAATAATGACAGTGTTTTTCCCAGTACTTGTGTGAAGAGATCCTTTGCTTGATGGCCTTGAACCATGAAAAAGTCTGCCAAAAACACGTACTCGCGACAACAGTTGTCTAACAAAGCGTAGTGCATGCTACGGAACAAGCTCTCGAAAGAATACTGAAAACATTAAAAACATTAAATTTAAAAACCGTTACTATTGAGTTAAAACGCTGTTGTTGTTGTTTTTATTGTAGCTGTTGATGCTGTTGTCGTTTCTGTTGCTGTTGTTGTTGTTGATGATGATGATGATTCTGGTGTTGTTGTTGCTGTTGCTGATGATGCTGTTGTTGTCGTTGTTGTTGTTGTTGATGATGATGGTGTTGTTGTTGCTGTTCATGCTGTTGTTGTTGCTGTTGTTGATGATGATGCTATTTTTGTTTTTGTTGTTGTAGTTGCTGCTTATGCTGTTGTTGTTGCTGATGTTGTAAGTAAATGTTGCTGTTATTGTTGTTGTTGTTTTTGCTAATGCTGCTGTTGTTGTTGCCGCTGATGCTATTTTTGTTGTTGTTGGTGGTGGTGGTGCTGCTGTTGTTACTACTATTTTTGTTGTTGCTTTTGTTGTTGCTGCTGCATGTGTAGTAGTCATTGTTGTAGTTAATCTTCTCACCTTCTTCTCAGTTTTCTGTGCAGCATGTGGTACAATTATAGACTCCTCCAACTCCGTCGTCAAAACGCTGCCACGATTACCAAGTGTAAATATAGTAGATCTGTTTTTCAGTACTGGTTTAGATGAGAAAAATCCTGCAAACGAGAARACSCTCGTTRTAGAAAGAAGCAGAAATAATCAAAAAGCATTAATTTTACCTTTTCTTGCATTATCTTCTACGCCAATCAGATCTTCACGATCAGCAACTTCTTC